ATTTGCTTTTGTTAAACATGGAAAGCAGAAACTTGCCATGAACATGCCTACTGAGTCACTTAGTTCATTAAAAATATTAATTTTCAAATGCATATAGTGGAATAATGTTTTTTGGAGGGGTGACGAAAAATTCTTTTTTTTTACTCTACCGAATTGGGCAGAGAAAGAAATGTAAAACTTGATAATTGATTACCTATTGAGAAGCTGAATTAATAAATATCCAGTCTTTGGAAGAAGATGCCCAGTGGGCAAATAATTTAAATCAGGTATATTAATTTTTGCGGCAATAGAACGAGCGAATATGGAAAGCTGAAACTTGACATGAACGTGCCTGCTGAGACTCTGAGTAAAGGAAAAATGTAAAGTTTCAGATGAATGCTATGGGGGCATATTTATTTGACGTTTAAACAAAACTTTTTGTCCTACCGCATTGGGAAGAAATAGAAAACTGAAACTTAAGACACACCAAAATTGATTAGTTGTTGAGTTCAGAAACTATAAAAGTTTGTGGTGCATGCCCTCAGGGCACAGCTATTAGCCGCTTCCGCTTTCGAAATAATTTTTTTTTGCGCCAGCAAATAGAGCAAACAGATAATTCTGAACCTTGGTAAGCACGTAATTCTCCCAGGATTGATATCTGCAAATTTGTAAATTTTTAGGTGAAACCTCTCGACAAATTTTTTACAAAGACGCCTTTTCCAGAATCATTTCTGATCTAATGAAAGGGAAATCGAAAGAAACTTGAAATTTCGAAAAATCGGAATAAATATGTCTATGAAAGTTTCAATTCGTTCTCTCTCAGCACCCATTTTAAAGATGCTAATATTTTAAGACGTTTTAGCCCCTTTGAAAAATAAATAAAATAATGAATCACTAACCTGGACAATGGAGATATGCAGGCACATGCCTTCAGGGCGTATTGAGGCAAGATGACGTTTTAAAATCATTTATTTCACTTCAGCCAAAGCAAAGATGTAGAAAGTTGAAAATGGAGATGAAAGTGCCTATTGATATGCTGATTTCCAGGGAAAAAAAAAACATTTTCAGATGTACGCCCAGTGGGCTCATTTTTAAGGGATATTTTTTTTATTTAAGTCAAAGGGAAATGCAAGAATAGCTGAAAATGAATATGAACGTGGTAAATAATATGCTAATTAAAAAAATTTCATTTTAGAGTTGTATCCCTTTAGGGGCACTATTTTTGTGGGGGACCTTTTCAAGAAAATTTTATTTAGGGAAACGGATTTTTATATGAGACTGGGATAAGCGAATTTAGCAAAAATCTTCATTTTATCGTGCGCATCTCAGGGCACATATTTTCGTTGCAGGAAAGGTCTTCGAATTTTTTGCCACCAAAACAGAGGATATTTGTTTAGGAGGTTGTATTAGTAAACTTAGAAGCACATTTTTCACTCAGAGAAAATTGTTCTGATAGTATGGTTATAGAAGGCGCAGTATTGACTATGAACTTTAAAATGACAGTACTGGGGCTATGAAGAATCTCTATTTCATCCATGTTCACAACATCAGATTGAAAATCACTTCACACAAGCAGGAGTTGCTTAAACTCACGATTAAAAATCCTTATGATCCAAGGAGTCACCCAGGACCCAATGTATAGTCCAGGAGGACCCGATGTATAGTCATGAGAATCAAAAAGGGTTCCTCAAATGTATTATTATTAACATTTTAAGGAGGGAGCCGCTTCGAAGGCGCGTTCATAGCGAGTTTGTTTGCCCGAATGGGAAACAAATTCGCTAGTCAAAATACATATTTTAATTTGAGTGAAAGGCAGTGCAAATGGATTCAGACGAATGGACACATTGGAAATGTCTTGAATTCCCCACTTCCCAGGGACCACATTTTTTTTTAAGAAAGGCTTTAATGTTCCCTTTAAACGTCCAACAAGTATTTCAAAACTTTTCCTCAGCCGTTTCAGCGCGGAAGGGAAAACTCAAAGGCAACTCGAATTTTAATTGCAAATCCTTCCTTTTCATATGCTGCTCTTTTGGGAAGGATTAGCATGTAGCAAAATATTATAAATAATATCATTTTTAATCAGAGAAACGTAGTGAAGGGATTGGAAGGGGTCGGAAGCCAGAAAACCTGGAAATTGATACGAGGATCGTCGAGATAGTTGAGAAGATAATTCATGAAATTCCCATTTGCAAATTACCAGGACGTGACAGAGACACTGGGCACTAGTCAGATGCATAGAGGTATGCATGAATCAGGATATGTCGTTCTAGTTGCTGTTTCAGAGGCGCCGCACCATTTTAAAGAGCGGAGCATTATTATTTTCAAATTGAAGTCTCTCTCTTTGGGAACCCTTGAAGGAAAGGGAGCCATAACAACTGTTTCTGTTCCATTTTCATACTGGATTTTCTGCTTCTCAGAATTGAAACCGCCAAAAAATTTCACATTTATTTGCAAAACAAGAAATGTGAGAAAGTGCCAGTCGTCACGCTGTTTTGGAAAAAAACACTATTTCTGCCTAAATTTACTTTCTCCATTTTATCAATTCTTAGAAACATTTGGAGAAGGAAACTCATTTTAAAGTTATGCATGTATTTGAATACGAATAACCAGATATCACTGTACATGTCTCTCATCCTAACGTCTTTGAAGCGTTATGAGTGCTTTTCATCTTCTCGGCACGCCCATAATTCATGGGAATCATTGCGTGCGTGCGTAAGAAGCCGCCGATGGGACCTATGCGTGGATGTCCACAAGTCCACGCGCGCATATGCGGCGTCTCTTGTCTCCCTCTCTCCGGCTAGCATTTTTTTTGTTTGCGGCCGTTGCGACTGTCGGATTTATTCTGGAGAACCTAATAGCCCGAAGGGAGAGAGGTCGGGGGAAGAGTTCGGAGGGCATCAGAGGACTAAAAAACTGGGTCTCCCGATTAACAATTAAGCGAGTTACGACGACACCACGGAACCCGAGGCCTTGTAGTTTCCCTTTCCACGTCATCCCTAAGTTTCCAACGTGAGGGAGAGGCATTCTACGAATCACATTCGCATTCAAACGCGTACTGGGTTCGATCCCCGTTGCAAATGAAACTTAAAAATAAAATAAAATCGGATTGGTAGGAGTTAAAATCGGAATGGAAACCGTAAGTTGAGGGTGACGACCTCAGCTTCCGCACTAACACTGCCAGGGAGGGCATTACAAGAAACCTCACATACCGACATACATTGAGGGAAGAAGTATAGGAAAGGGGTATGGAGCCCGGGGAGCCAAAGGGTGCGTGGACAAATTGGGTCAGGCAGGTCCGAGATTCGAAGTAGTAATGGGTGGAGTAGGTGTAGTGCTTGAGTCGTGGGGGTGTCTGATGTGTACCGTCCTTGGTACCGGGGCTCAAATGGTCGATGTACTCCCCTAAACCGAAGTCCACAATGATATACGGCCAGATGCAACTCGATTGACGTAGTTACATATTTTTAAAAAGCCTCCTGTTTTTGATAATGTGCTGTATTGTTGTGACATTTTGCCGTCGCTGCCTCCTTGGAAACAGAATTCTTGATTATATTAAATTATTTTTCTGCCATAAAAAATCATTAAAAAAATTAATTCGCAGACAATGCTGCAACGGGCAGTCTAGTACTTCTAGTCAAGTCCAGTAATTTCATGAGCACCATTGGGATTAACAGGAATTGATTTTGCTCAGACTTCTGATTTCTGGCCACCTTTTGTTTTTTTTTTAACAGCCACCAGCTCCCGATGAAAGGATGTTTTCAAGATTGTCTGATGATTATTATGTCATGCTTGATTAATCTATAATTACAGTATGTTGGAAGCGCTTGAAGACGCTCCTGACACGTGGGCAAACAATAGCACAAAGAGACATCCATCACTGAAGGCACACGAATGCCATCGCAGCTGAGCGGATATAATGGATGAACTGATGACCTAATCCATGCATCAACTGCATTCGTGCCTTGCTTCATGCCTTGCTTCATGCTTCATGCTTCGTGCCTTGCTTGAATTTCCGCTATCGCGACAGGAACCAGGAAGGCGATGAAAATTCAACAGGTCTCACAATGGAGTCATCATCTTTGAACGACCAGACCTTATTGAAAACAAAGCATCGATTGTGCGTCAACTTATGCAAGAAGACCTCCTTGTCTTCCGGCAAATTATTTCTTACTATAAAGAGACTTTGAGGCGATGGAGTGGCGACTGTAGACGATTGGTGAGGGCGGGAGTGGGCCCACCTTCTCAGTGGTTGTCATTGTTCGATCGGCGAAGAGGATGAGGCCCAATTACTTCGTATGAGGTAGAATTGGTCTCCAAGGCAGAGATAAGAGGCTGCAGGCAAAGTGTAAGACCGACAAACTGAGACTGGCTGATCAGGCCGAAATCTCCCGAACTTGAGCTATGCATTACAAAAGCAACTAGGCAAAATATTGGGTTGGAAAGAAAGTCTTGTAACACTCTGCGCAAATTTTTCAAAATTTTATAAATTTATTGAAATGCAATCTCAGTCTACAATGTAATGACCATTTGTTGTCTATGACATGTTCCCAACGCACGGGTAACTGCTCGATGCCCTTCGCCCAGAACTCTGGCGATTGCACCGCTGGGCTACGTCAGAAAGTGTTGCAAGACTTTTTTCCTAACCCAATATATTTGGATCCAAATTGGGGACAGGGCCGTTTCGTAGAAAACCGATTCACAGAAATGTCCGTTTGGCAAACGGACCGTTTTTAGCCACGAAAGTTGTTTCGAAGAAAGTGGCATGCTAGGCAGGATCTGTTAGTAACGCCCGAGATGAAGGTCTTCCCGCCTAGACGGCTTCTAGAAATCATGTACAAAAGGCTGCAAAGCAATGGTGCCATTTATGATATCGGCAATGGAATTAGATATTTCGAAACAAGGCCAGAATGAATTGAAGATGTAAGGCAATACATTCAATGGAAATATGAGAGCCAGAAAATAGTTTTTTTTTTAATGCTACATTATGAGACTCGTGATGGAAGGAATTTCGTAAAACGGCCATGGATTTCACGAACACGCTCCCGCCCAAGGAGAAATAGTAAGTAGAACCACCGGAAGTAAACTGAAGAAAGCCGCTTAGAGACGCGCAAAACCGGCAGCTGCCAATATTGAAACGGAGACAGACCTGGGCCAGTCGGACAATTCACTTCACTTTTAAAAGCTACTTTGGGAATGGTTTAAAATAAGAATAAAATGCTTGAAAGAATCTGGGAGCGAACGTTATTATAGACGAGTGCTTTCCAATGTTTTCTTTATTCCTAGCACACCTAAGGACACTTGCATTTTCCACGGCACACCTAGCCATTTACTTAATTTCAATGGGAAACTGTTGCTTACTTCGCTTAACACAGCAATTTGATATGAGGTGGAATTTTTATCCTAAAAATTCTACTCAGCTCACTTTCCACCAAGAGTAGGCGTTCCCTGTTGATGTTCTTCATTATTTTCTGTGCCAAGAGGTGTTAAATTTGTTTTTTTTTTGTCAACTCTCAAATCATGTGCCTTACTCGCGGCAGATCAGTGTGCCACGGCACACCGTTCGGGAACCACTGTTATTGACAATCTGACATATGAACTGATAATTTAATTGTATGACTGACTTCACTTTCGTTTCTTTTCACATAGTGATTTTCCAAACTGGGAAGTCACCAATTCCCATTTGTATTCTTGACAATGACGATGAAGCGCTGATAGCTAGAGGATAAAATGATCGTGTCGTTCCTTTTCCAACAAGGAAATTCGATGGACGGAGAAGAGGAGGCCTTATAACTTTGGGATGTCGAGCCTGCGCAGATCGGACGATCGTGCACATATAAATGGTGCTGTAGCAGCTCATTTACCAGGATTGTTGCTCCCCTGTCGTGTTTTGAGATTGGTCCTACCCTCTACCTAACTCTACTTGATCCGGCTGAATCAATCATTTTTCGGCAGGGCATCTCACTTCCGTGAGAAAGGGGGAAAGAAGATGAGAGGAAAAGTGGGTGTCGATGACGGAGCGAGGGGAATCCCAGCCGAGATCCAGTTCGAAGACGAAGGGGCGGAAACGGTCGGCGTCGGCCCTGTCACCATCAGATTCCTCAACAGATTCACAGGACACGTGAGTGACCTCGATGCCGAAATCGCCGACAGGCATGATAATTCACGCAGGATGCTTTAAAGCGAAGGTCCCCACCGCTACATAAGTAACCTGTCACCATCAGATTCCTCAACAGATTCACAGGACACGTGAGTGACCTCGATGCCGAAATCGCCGACAGGCATGATAATTCACGCAGGATGCTTTAAAGCGAAGGTCCCCACCGCTACATAAGTATCAGAAACACTTCCTTCATGCGCACAGTTCGTAAAATTTATTGGCAGGTACTGTTTATCATGAATGTGTTTCTTAATTGCACTTTCACGGATGACAGAAGGTAGATCGAGAGCCCTTAAGGGATAAAAGAAGCATCCGATAATGACTATTAATTTCCATTCCAAGAATAAAAGCTATTATTTANTTATTGGCAGGTACTGTTTATCATGAATGTGTTTCTTAATTGCACTTTCACGGATGACAGAAGGTAGATCGAGAGCCCTTAAGGGATAAAAGAAGCATCCGATAATGACTATTAATTTCCATTCCAAGAATAAAAGCTATTATTTATGACACCTTTCAAGATGGACATAACCGACTATCTTCACGCAAAGGCTATTTCAAGTGATGAAATGAAAAGTGTAAACTGACACGACTCCACTATGAAATCAGTCGAGGACCGCTTATACGAATGCGATGACGTACCGGCAACGTTGTCGGTACTTCATCGTATTCTCTCATGAAAACAGAAGTGAAAAGGTTTAGAATTAACCGGATCACGTCTCTAAAGTCTCCACCCAGTTCCTTGATACGATCAACCATGAACCAGCTTCGGACGCAATGAGTGCCGTCTGACTTTGCTCCATTGCACAGTTATGATGCACCAGTCTCAGACTCAAGTGGAAATCATCGTCATCTAGTGTCGATTGTGTGAACCTATTTTGTTTTTTAGTTACTGCTAAATGGATAGCATAGTCACGCTCAAGAAAAATTACTCTTTAGCGTCAAACGTCCGTCCGTCAAGACCTTCGTGTACTGATGATCAAACGGCAATTTAATTAAGCATTCAAAAGCTGCTCGTCGCCGAACCTTGAACGTCGAAGATCCTCTTTTAGCCGGGTTTAAGCGTCCTCCTGAACGTGGTTGTACTACTCGGTATTTTACATGAATTTGAAACAATGACCTTTGGGCCCCCGGTAAGTTATTGTACCAATCCCTCTTTTCGCATGGCACTATTGCCTCGGTTGTCTGACGGTATATGAAGTCAAATATAACAGTGTCCATCCTCAATGGCCGGAACAATATGTTTCACATGTTTAGCATACTGTCAACAATTGCGAAGAATGATAATTGGCTGTTGCATGCCAGCACCTCGTTCCAGTACGTTTTCTCCTTTCTGTGAGTATGATGAGGCATCCCTCCAGAAACTGAATATGAATTCAAACGTTGAAGAGTACCGATAACATTCTAATATCTCCGTCCAGGCACTGGGCCGTTCTGCGTACCCGGAATCCTCTATCTTCAGAAAACTCTTCTGGCTCTTCACATTTCTCATTACTTCTGGCTACATGTCCTACGGAATCATCCAAATCATCGATGCGTATATGTCTGGCAAGATAGCAACCTCTACCCAGGTAGAACGATATTGATGCTTCTCATTTGTCCCATTGTTTCCGAATCCGGACGTGTGTCCGGATGTAAATGCCTTTGCCATTTAGATGGAGTCGCGAGATACGATTCCCTTCCCTAGCGTCACAATCTGCCCTCAAAAATATACATATGAAAACCTGTACTTCGATTTTTCTGGTCTCTTCAGCCCAATGGAAAAAATCGTAAAGAACAGTGATAATATTGAAATGATTTTTGAACAACTGTTAATGTCCGATGACACCTTTCAACCAGCAATTGAAGATTTGCTCCCTGCTCTCTATCATGCGAATCGCCCAGCAAACGAGAACGGCCCAAAGGAAATCTGCGTTACACCCTTCGCAAATGAAGAAGGTAAACAGCTTCATTCTTGATGTTTCAAGGAATTGGTAAATTCGCCCACGCGGCTCATTAGAACATGACAATAAAGCTTTCGCACGAACGTAGAAAGAGGAACCCTCCTTCTCGACACCCATGAAAATCGTCCTCCCACTTCAGAGCATGAATTTCTCTGCAGATGATGCTCTGCTGGATGACCTCCCCAGCGTGCAGGAAGATCTTCTTTCAAACAAGTACCTTTTGGATGATTTCTCGTACATATATGATGCCAACATTGGAATACTCCATTGCAGCTACAATGAAGAACCTTGCAGCGATACGTAAGGATGATTTTATCGTTAAATTATGGGGTTGAATGTTAAGCCGTCACAATTTCTCATGGACGTGAAAGGAAAAGCTCAGGCACATCATTTCCTCGAGATAAATTCATTGATTTGCTAATAAGTTTGGCTTTTTGGACTGGGCGACGTGACTCGTCAAGCTTTTTTTTAGTTTTGTCATTCAAAAAATCATTCAGGCGATGCCGTTTTACACTCTGAAAGGCAAAAGGTAACGACTCTTATCTCGTAGGAAAGCAGTGTACGTTTTCAATACCAGAAATTCATATGTATTACAGGGTGGAGGAAAAGTCACGCAACAAAGCCGATTTCGCTGTTGCAATGAATTAATTATAGTTCCTTTTTCCCTTTCCTGGTATGTTATGGCTGTTAAAAACCAAAATACGAGAGTATGGAGTTCAAATATGTTCAACTTGCATCTGTACCGCGAATCGAGGTGTTTCCCTTTTAAAGGCTAACAATGCAAACAATGTAATTTACCCTATGGTGCGCGACTTTGGCGCCACCCTGTATTACAGGTTAAATTTGTGCAAGCATTATTTGCTACTTTTAGCGATTTCGAACCGGAGCACAATGAAAAGCTCGGGCCATGCCTTACCTTCAACTACCGCAGGGACAAAGAAGTCCGTCGTCAGATGGACGGAATCCCATATGGTGGAATCGAAGAAAAGAAAACCGGTTGGGTACGACCACCTCCATCGATCAGATCGAGAGGAGAGAAATTGCAGCGATAATTGTTTGTCTTAATTTGGGCAGCAAGGACTTCGACTTGCCCTGGCACCGCATATCCCGGAAAATCACGGCCGCTTTTCATCGGCGATGGGACACAGGCTCTTCATTCGGAAACCCCAGGATACTGCATATTCGATTGAGGAAGGATTCAACATAAACCTGGGAACGGTTTCCTATATTGGCCTCAAGATGGTGGAGTTCGAACGAATTCCTCCAGACCTAGGGGGGAATTGCGCCCCCGATTCCTACCTCTTGCAGCGATTCGACCCCAACATTTTTAGGGTCCGTGATGGAATCCCATATTCTCAGGAGGTAAAGGCTTATTCCTACAATGAATTCCTCATCCTTCGAAGTGGGTTGCCTCCTTCTTAATCATTTCTTTTTCGTCGTTCAGGCGTGTCTGAACTTTTGCGTTGCCTCTCGATTGATGCTTGCCTTTAATCTCTCGCCCAACTGCATATACGAAACGGATTACAAGAGAGTTCTGCTGCCCATCAACTTACGGAAAAACCACATCAATTGTGATATGGGTAAGCAATTTCACATAGCGAATTTCACTTAATTTCTTTATGCGCCCTTGTACCTGTTTGCCTCCTCGGTTCAAGTGAGGGAGTAAACGGAAAATAGTACCAATAATTTATATATTCATTCGACAGGATATGCGCTTCAAACCAATCACTTTAGTAAAGTTCTAATATTGCTTCCTGGAACACAGAGTACCCTCAAATCAGAAAGAAGGTTCAACGGGTGGAGAAACATGCCGAACGTTCCTGCGGTTGTCCTCCTCAACGCTGCATGTGAGCCTTCCCTTTTATCCAACCTGAACCTTAAAATCATGGTGAAACGATGTTTGCTGGTGGTTTAGAGAGAAGAGATTGGTACAGTCGTTCTCGTCTTCGCCGATGGGTCGTCACGACACCTTGCTCATAAACTTGGCGGCTTGGATGAAGAACGTGACGAAGAATGTTGATCCTAGATCGTCCAACAAACAAAATGAGCAACTGCTTCAAAACGAGCTGGGAAACTCGACCTTCTGCCATCCTCCCAAGTTTGCACATTCATTATATTTTTTTCCTGAAGAAGTAAAATTGGGCGAAGATAGCTGGATCACCTGGAAATTTCGAGTTTCGTCAACGGATCTCTAAGAATCGACATCGCGTATACATTTTCCACATGCGATTTTATGTCATTGAGGTGCTGAAAATCTCTATATATAATATGCTTGGGCCTCCGTGTGTATTTCCGCAAGTGCATGTGCGCATGTGCGGTGCCTTGATGCCTGCCCCCTGGTGTACGTCTATCTTTCTTCCATAGAGAGTGCATAAGGGAGGGGCCTCCCCTATGGCGCGAGGCGCTGCACCCTTCCAGGCGCGGCCGCCATTGGTGCTGCTTTATATCGTTGAGAGGGCCGCTGAGTTTTAGGGCTGCTGACTGAGCTGTGGATTCCCGAGAAACAGTTCGTGGAAGATATCGGCGGATTGGGGCGTCCATCTCACGCTGGCACTTTCTCTCCGGCCTTAGCAACAGCCAGATTCGTTCTTAAGAATAAGAGTGAGAGACATTGTACGTCTTGCGCACCCCCACCCCCCATTACGAAGGGATGTTCACTCCTCGAAGTGAGCCTTCATCTAAGAAAACTCCCGTACAATACTTGGAGTCCCGTTTTCCTCTGTGCGAAGGAGAGTAACTCTAGAGGGTGAAAGCGGCAGGGTCCCAACAGTGTGGGACAGAACAAGATGGCTTATTCATTGATCGCGAGGATGCCGCCGGTTGAGTCTTTACCATACCGTATCCATATTCGTATCGGCTTGCACGCAAAGTGATGGAGATGGTATTTACAGGACAGGGTTGCAATAAATAGGGAAAAGTACCGGTAAATGTTCTGGCGAAGATCTCACTCCGGCGAGGAAGTAATCTACCTTTCAACGGGATGAAAGGGGACTACAAGAGTTGTACGTGGGGACATGTAAATAATGGGAAAGAGGGGCTGCTGTCTAAAGCGATGAGAAGGCCACTGAGTTTTAGGGTCGCCAAATGAACTCGGGATTTCTTGCCGAAGAGTAGGTGGAAGTCTTCCACGGGTCGGTTAGTCAAGATATCATATGTATACATGGTCGTGAGAGAATGAGCGACTGACTGAGGCACTGACGCGAACTCTAGCCATGTTCTAGATAAGATAAAAATACGAGGTGTGGCTATTAAGTTTCTAGACTTTATTTTTTTTTAAATTTATTTTTAAACTTACAAATTAATCACATTCATCGCCTTCAAAGGACTCCCCTCCAGAACTTGATGCACTAATCCCAACGATGCTGTAATTGCTGGAGAGAGCGGTGGAAGTCTTCTTTCGAGATGTCTTTCAGAGCCTGCATCACATTGTTTGAATGTCTTCAATGCTTTGAAATCGTTGGCCTTTCCAAAAATTCTTGAGTTTGGGATACAGCCAAAAGCCACTGGGGGTTAAATCAGGCGAATACGGCGGGTGATCCATTTCAGTGATCCGTTTGGCGGCCAAAATCTCTCGAACAGACAGGGCTATGTGAACCGGCGCGTTATCGTGATGCAGGATCCACGAGTTCTCCTTCCACAGATCGCCCCTTTTCCTCCTCACAGCCTCACGCAAACTCTTCAAAACGTTCTTGTACAACATCTGGTCGACTATTTGTCCTTCTGGCACGAATTCTGAGTGGACGATTCTGTTGACATAAAAAAACAAACAAATCAGCATCGTATTGATTTTCGACTTCAGCATTCGGGCTTTTTTCTGTCTCGGTGAACTTGCAGTTCTCCATTCAAGGGATGGACGTTTCGTTTCCGGATCATATTGATGACACCATGTCTCATCTCCAGTGATGATTCTTTCCGAAATATTTCCTTCTCCAGCTCTTTTTAAGGAGAACCAAAAAAACGTTCAATCGCCTTTGTTTTCATTCAGCTGTCACCAACCGAGGCACCATTTTCGCTGTCACTCTTCTCATGCTCAAATCATCCTTCAAAATCCCTCGAACAGTTTCTTTATCTAAATTCAACTCTTCAACTATCATTCTAATTGTCAACCGTCTGTCTGAACGCACCAAATCTGTAACTTTGTAGACATTTTCAGGTGTTCGTTTGGTGATTGGCGCTCCACAACGCTGGTCGTCATTGACGTCTTCACTCTCCTCTTTAAACCTTTTATGCCACAAAATAATTTGCGCTTTTGACATGGTACGATCACCTTAAACTTTCCTTAACATTTCGAGCGTTTCGGTTGTGGATTTCCCCAATTTAGCACAAAATTTGACTTAGTTCTCTGCTCGAGATTACGCTCCATTTCAAATCCGCCAGCGCACACAAATACGGTCTACCTTAACGGACCGCAGCTCACAGCGCACTAGTCAAACCACATTAAAACTCGCCCGGTTATTAGCTAAGGCTGCCCTCCGTGTTACTGTCATAGCCCCATTCCCCTACTCTCTCAAAGTTCAGTAATAAAGCCAGTCTGGAAACATAATAACCACACCTCGCATGATACTTGGTACACTTCTTCTGGGATGCAGAGTTCAGAAAAATTCCGAAAATTCAACCAAAATACGCCACCGCATTGATGAAAACTTTTTTGTGAATTACTCTATATTTACTGATGACCAAGGTACTTTCCGTCGCACAAACTAAGGCATTTAACTTGAGAAAGCATGTCTAGATAGTTCCATCTTGTCCTGACTCCATACAGACAACCCTTGGTAAAATGTTAGATCGGAATGATAGACGTTTCTTTGGTTCTGATAGTGCTTCTGCACTATTCGTATGCTTATTATTGGCATCTCTCTCCTCAATTTTGTCCGATCCCCTTTAGGCTCCGATACCCTACCTGCCTCTCCATATTCAAGTGCCCCGTTTTAGCACTCTCCCTACAATCCATCATCAGTTAGACTCCGTTAATAGTCAGGCCTAGCACTTGCACTTCAAAGTGGAGAGCCTAACTTAATTAACAGTGACTTGCAAGTGAATATGTACCACTTTTAACATGAGCACCTCAGACCCAATTCCCCATATTTGATGGTTGAAACACCCTCATCTCCTTGATTGCGCCATAAAAATGTCATTACATGGTAAAAGTTAGTGAAAATTCTTTTTCAATCACTGTATAATTACATATGGAGATTCATGCAGTCCATGTCTGGTTAAGGGAAAAGAAGAGAACATTACTTTTGTTAGTTATATTCGTATATCTGGTATTCATGATGAGGGGCAGGCTGGGGTAGGTCTCCCCATCACCAATGGCTAAATTTACTTTTAAAAAAATAAAGAGTTCATTCTGTCTATAAGTATATACTTCCTGTTAAGTAGCCCATGGAAAGGGAAGAGGCACAGGGAAAAAAGTGAGCATAAGAACTTATCCAGTTAGGTGTTGATCATAATTCAATTTTCATGAAATCAGGGGTAACTTTCGCTTTCAGTCCATGCATCCAGCTTCTGTCGAAGTGGAGAAACTGTAGAAAGATCAGCATTTTTGTTCAGGAAAAGTTACTTGAAAAGTAACTTCAACTTATAACTAGTTACTTTTGGTGAGAAGTAATTCTACTGGTAACTAATTACGTTTTGGATGAAATACTTGTAATTACAACTAGTTACTTTTCACTAGTAACGCGCCCAACATTGCCTATGGAGTCACCCAAATATCCTTTTTGGGAGAACAAGGCAGTTCTAACAACGGATGTAATAAAGCTGAAACTGGTTACCTATTGACATATTTCTTCAGTCAACAGATTCCTGTCGTGCACGTCTATTACGAAACCATGTTAGTGGAGAAAACCACGGAGATTCAGTTATACCCAGTAAGTCAAGCAATTTCTTCAAGTTCTCTTCAGCTTCTCTCGGTAAATGCCGCTGGAAATAAAGTCCCTTCCCTTCTTCGATAGTGGTCGAGCTTCATTGGAACGTTTGGTGGGTTGCTGGGTCTCTACACTGGTATGTCTTTCATCTCGGTTCTGGAAATGCTCGAGTGGATTTTAGATATGTTGTTGTACGGTTGGAGGAAGCCACGTCATGATACGATGGGACCGAAACAACGAGTCATCCTCATGTGTGAGTTGATGTCCATTTTATGAATAAGTGGCCACCTTTCGAAACTCGTAACGAAATCACCGAAACTCCTAACTTTCTTTTCTTCTGATCGGTCTGGCAGGGAGAGAAGTGGATCTTGAAGAAGAGTTGAGAGAGAAGTTAAGCCGGAAAGGAAAGGTCTCATTGGGAGATCTGACAGTTCATAATTGAACACCCTTCAAGGATACACGGAGGGTATCATTTGATTCCTTCTGTGACCGTTTCTGATGGAATTTGCAGATTTCGTTAGGGGAATGCATATATGTGGTCATCGTTCTTGCATGAAG